TTGTTATTGTCATTTAATTATTATTATAAAACAAAAAAAAATTATTCTGGTAAACTCTAAAAGTTTTAAAACATGCATAAATAACAATAATGATAATGTTAAAAATGATATAAATAAATAACATATAATAATAAAAATAATAATAATAAAATTTTGGAAAAGAAAAAACAAATTTTTTTACTTGAACCGGATCGATCAACGATCTGGTCAACAGTTCTACTTACAGGGATTCAAATAGGTTCAAACCGGTTTACTGACGATTTGTCTGGACCGACTTAGGGTTGGCTGTGATGGGTCAGTTTGCGCGGATCTCGGGTCGGGTAATGGGCACGCACAAATCCTCTCTTTGCCTAAAATGACGTCTTTTCGCTCTTTGTTTTTCTATATAAAGTCAGTTTTTTTTTTTTTTTTTTAGCTCATTTGACTCTTCCTCTAGACAAAAAATTTCAACTTAAAAAAAATCATCTCTGGCTTTGCCAAAAATCGGTGACGTGTTGTCGCGTAGGCCGCCACCTAAGATTGCCGTCGGTGGTCACCGATGGTCGTCGATGATCGAAAAATATTGAAAAACCTCCAAAAATTATTCTCAATGCCTTCTTTTCGAATTTGATCTCTTTTTTACTGGAAATAACCTCGATAGTAGCAAATCGAGACTGTGAAGTTTTTGGATTCTCGTTTTTTTTTTTTTTTTTAAAAACTTGAACTAATGATTTCTCTTTTTTTTTTGTTGCAGGATGACTTTGGCGTTAAGGTTCCTCCCTATTGGGATGATTGTGTTTTTGGTTTTTAGTTTTGGTGGATCTAGTTTGGGTTTTTTTTTATTTTCTGATAGGTGGGGATGGGGGAGTGTTTGGGTTTCTGAGAATGGTTTTAAGCTTATGGGTGTGGGAATTTTGTGCTTTTGGGAATGGAAGTGTGTCCGAGAGAGATGAAAGGAGGGGAGGCTGAGTGCTTTATAGGGCTGGACGGTGGTGCAAGGTAGAGTAGGTGGTGGCTGTAGGGTAGGCTATAGGTTGGTTAGTCGGGTGGCCAATGAGGGCGGCTGATCTGATGAGACTGGATAGGGGTGGCTGGATCTGAAGGTATTAGGTAGGAGGCTGGACAAAGGCAGCAACGGTGCCATACACCAGCCCCCTGTTTTCTATCACTTTTCTTCTTTCCTTTTTTTATTATTTTCTTTTTTATTATTAATTGTATTTTTTGTTTAATTAATAAATATTAAAGTAAAAAAATAAAATAAAATAAAAATATGTTTTGGGCTTAAAGAATGAGATTGAGCTTTAGGCCTGGTTGGATCAAATTAGGCCTGAAGTTCGATTTAGTCAAACTCGGGCTTAAAGCCCAATTGAGCCAAAATCGATCTTGGGGCCTAGTCAAATCGAAATCAGATCTAGGCCTAAAAACTCAGTATATGCGATGAACTTTAAAACAAGACTTGACTAAAAATCAGATAAAGTTGGTGTCTAAAATCATTGATTTGATTGGCAATTAATTTATTGTAATGATTATTATAAGAGAATAATAATTAGTTTAAAGAGTTTAATATGAAATTGGTGTCATATATATTGTTAGCCCATTGGGATTGGGGAATGTGAGAAGATTAATAACTTGGCTCTTTTTATTTAGTTCAAAAATCAATTGTTTCAATAATATATTGCTTAAAAAAAATAGGTGTGAAAAAGAGAAACATGAGATTTTTTACTTGATCAACAACAAATCCTCAATTAATTCAAAAACACAGTTGGTATCATCAATGTCATCATGATCAATTTTTTGGTCATTCAAGGGAGGCAAAGCCTTACCTTAAGGAAAGGGGGAAGGCTACCTTTTACTCAATGAAAAACTTGATGTTAAAATTCAAGTGATTAATTTTCATTTTGTTCGCACCATTTTATAGAAAATCGATCTTTATATGAATACCCCTCCTTCAATTATTGTAAAAAAAAAGAAAAAATTCAAATCTTAAGCCTTAATCCTCCAAGTATTGTTAGATCAGACATGAGTTGGTAGTAAAAATTTTTGTAATACCTACCTTGGTAAACAAAACTTCCTTAGCGACCTTGTTATTGTTTCCTTAGACACTTCACTTTTGTTACCTATCCATTCTTTTTTTTTTTTTAATGTAAAGGAAACTGTAAGTTAAGAAAAAATTAATGGTATATTGATATTTAAATTTTAAATTTATTACATGTTATTTTTTAAAAATAATTATATGAATCACTTTAAGTTTGTTGTGATTTGTCTTTTCACGAGTTGTCTTGGTTACTTTAATAATTTAAAGAAGCTTAGCATACACAAATATATACTTTTATTTACCTGATACAGGGAAGAAGCAAATGGAAAGCTATATCTAGTAAAAACTTGAATTGTTAATACTTCCTGAAATCATTTGGCCAATCTATTCTTTTTCCATTGTTCTCTTTTGTTAGTGACTTGAAATTATTAGATCAAGTAGTTTTCACATGCACGCTTAGATCTCACAATCTTTAATATTTCTTCATTTAGTAAGGTATCAGATTTATTATATATATATAGAGAAGTGGGCCAGGCCGAACTCAATGTATATTTTACAAGTTGCTTTTTCCCTGGAAACTAAAATTTTACAAGTTAAGGGGTAAATGCTACATGAAATTTTCCATTTTACGAAACCCACCTCTATAAATTGGGAAGGAAACCAAGCCAAATGCAGCAAACATCACATCCATACATTGATCTGATTTCTCTCCCATCATACAAAACGTGAAAAAGAAAAGATCAGAAAAATGAAGGCATCATATATGGCACTGTGTGCCGTGGTGGTGTTCCTCTTGGGTGAAGCACAGGTCTCAATGGCGGTGACATGCAGCCCAACGCAGTTGAGCTCCTGCGTGAGCGCGATAACATCTTCATCTCCACCATCTCAATTGTGCTGCAGCAAGATCAAGGAACAGAAGCCTTGTCTTTGTCAATACCTTGGAACCCCAACCTCAAGAAATTTATTAACACGCGCAATGCCAGGAAGGTTGCTACCACTTGTGGTACTCCCTTCCCAAGGTGCTAGGAGATTAAACCCTTTTTTAAGGCTCTCCCTTTCTATTTCTGAGGAATACGAATCTATAAAGTGTCGATCCTGGATGGATAGACAGAAATTACCTTATTATATATATATATATATATATAGTTATGGTTGTTTTGCTAGCTGCTCTGTGAAGGAAAATAATATGTTGGCGTCATGGTCTATTTTTGTATGATCAATCATATACTACTAGTTGTTGCGGACGCTATCTTTAATGGAAATCAGTGTCCTTTTGACTCTCTCCTTGAAATTTCTCTATTTGTCACACACAAAAACACTTTTTGAGATTCCGATTTCATATTATCAGCAAAATGATGCAGTTGGTTCCTGATATGATACAATTTATAACTTGTCCTGCTCTAAGAAAATTATGAGATGATGATGATCAGCTGCCAAAAAATCACAAAATAAAAGCCAAATCCAGCCGACAACATAGATAAGTTGGCGGAAACCATAGTTTTAGTTCACCCTATATATAATATAGGGGGAGGTTAAGTTATACAAAAAAAAGTTTTATATATTTTTTTAATTATTAATTTTAATTAATTCAAAAAATGAGAGAAATAAATAAATAATAATTTAATTTTATCTTTTAAATTTATTCAATGCTTAAAAAAATATAAAATTAAAAATTTTATATTGATATAACTTAATCGCATTTTATATTTATATAGAGAGAGAGGTAATTCAATTTTCGGAGCCTTAGGGCTAGAGTGCTTAATAGGGTTTTCCCACATCAAATTCATTGACGTCAAAGAGTCAAATCATCCTGCTTCCTGCCATAACTGCGACTTAGCTCTTTGCACGCTTCCTTTTTTTTTTTTTTCCTTTATTTTATTCTTCATTTTCTTGTCTACCAAAGCAAATGATGAGTAGCAATACTAAAGAACTAGACACACTTAGTTGAGACTCTTTTCTAAAATCGACAAATGATACTAACAAAGCCTTCGTTTGCCTAAAGAAAATATATTGATAAATGTGTTTCCCCATAAATTAAAAACCTAGTTGGATTTTATGTAATCAATTTAAATTCAAAATCAATTAATTAATTTTCTTCGCATTGTTGCGATTTAGATTATATTATCTATTAATTTTTCTCAAAAAATATATTCATGAATAATTTAATCTTAAACTAATAAAACAAATTTATTACAATTTTTTGATAAAAACTGGAAGCACAATAGAATAAAATAATGACCGAGGACCAAAATAATAGTATGTTAGATTACCATGATGCTTCAATATAATTTTCTTTTTGATAGGAATATTTCTTCTAGAAAACATATTTCTTTTATTAAAATTTGGAAAATAAAATTAAAATAATAAAACATAAACCAAATAATGTTTTAAAACATAATAGATATAGCAAATAAGTAATTTTGCTTTTGAAATTGGTTTTGTTATATACTTCTTGTACTGTTTTGATACATTGGATCTGGACATTCTTTTTTAAGTTTGTATTAAAAATAATTCCTTTTGAATAGATTTTTGTATTAAAAAAGAGTTGTGTTTTAGAGTTTGATGTATTAAAAAGTAAAAACTTAGTGGAAAACGTATGTTCTGAAAATCAAAATAAATTTCAGAAAACAAACTTGAAAAACAAATAGAAGAAAAACAATTTTTTTTTCAAACTCTAATTTCATATAATTAAAAAAAACAAAATCCCTTTGATCTGGAAAAGGATTTGAAAGCAGAAAATTTGTTTTTCTTCATTGCAGTTGCAGATTCAACATTTTAAATTTTAATTGCACAAAGGACCAAAGCAACTTTATTATAAAACATGAGGAGTACAAAGAATATCTCAAAACAATTTTTTTTTCAAACTCTAATTTCATATAATTAAAAAAAAAAAAATCCCTTTGATCTGGAAAAGGATTTGAAAGCAGAAAATTTGTTTTTCTTCATTGCAGTTTCAGATTCAACATTTTAAATTTTAATTGCACAAAGGACCAAAGCAACTTTATTATAAAACATGAGGAGTACAAAGAATATCTCAATCACAATCTTCAAGCACAGTTGGAGAACATTTGGAGAAAGAACTCCAAAAATTCATTTACATGTAGAGAATGGGGGGAAGTACTTACAAATTAAGAAGGTTTGAAATCTGATTCCACCCCACAAACCAAGGCCTCTTATCAGCTGGTAGCGCAAAATTGAGCTCAAACATCTCCTTTGACATGTTACCTCCTTCACAGAATCCTACAAGCTTTGCCACTATCTGAGCACTCTCCTCTATGTGTTTGGCATCATGAGGATCTGTCCAGAGCTTGTTTATGAATTGCAGTTTCCTCTGCTTTCCTTCCAGTGATACATCCCATTTAATGTACAACGCATCTCTCTCCTCCTCACTCAAACGTGAGGTCAACCTCTTGGCAAGGAATTCCCTTTCACGCTTCAGGGCTCTAATACTGTAACAATTATACACAAATTTCAAGCAGAGATAAACTAACACAATCAACTGAAAGCAACAAGAGATGTGCAACTTCAAAACGTTCCAAGGACTGTGTGTTGTTTGTTTGAGAGAAAGAAAGAATGAGAGAGAGAACCTTGATGACAACGACACTGTGGGTTCATCTCCTACTAGAGCTGGGCTTGCATTTCCAAGTTCTGTAAAATGCTGCTGCAGCCAATTTAAACGCCTAAGCTCCACTTCCATGTATATTTCGTCGGCCGGATCGCCCCTAAATAACAAATAGAACTGTGTCCTATGAATGATGGAGACATAGCAGACATCCCATAACTCAATGATCTGCTGCCTTTGCTCCCTGAAGGTTATATGCCATGCAACTTGGGGTTCCTCTGGCTCAATTGCACTCTCATCGTCCTCTATATTGTATCCAGCTGCTTCATTTACTTCCAGCTCAAGCACCTAAAAGCAAGTCAAATACTAAATAAATCCCCTATAAATGGGAAAAAAGCAAGATAAATCCTATAGAAAGGGCAGAGGCAATTATTTTACCTGACAAACAAGTAGTTGCTTCTGGTATTGCAGTTTAGCAACACGCTCTTTCAGTTCTGTTACGTATGCTCTTATGCTTCTTACATTCTCTTCAGCTGCATTCTGAAACATCTTCTGCATTTTCTTCATGTTAACTGAACTTGAACGTCTATATCCCGGAGTGCCTTCCTTCGACAAGACATCTCCACCCTCTTCACTCTTCACAGGTGTTTCTTTCTCGGACTCTGAGAATGTCTCCTTGCAGGCAATGTCATCATCCTCTGGAGGTCTATTTTCTTCATTCTCAGGCTCCACAATTTGTGGAGAGGTTGATAGAGGTGAGCATGGAGATTTTATAAAATTTTGCCGATTTGCAACATTACTAGAAGTTAAAGGGAGCAACTTCTTCTTTTTAGACTGATTCTTAGTTTTGGGGGTTGCTTCACAGTTGGAATCTTGATCATTGCTTGGAAGAGACATTACTAATTTGTCTATTGACTTCTGAACATTCTCTAACTGCTCCTCAAGGTTAGCTATTGTGCTACCTTGTGAATGAAGTCTGGTTATCTCTTCCTTGAGGTTAGCACTAACACTTTTGTTAAGAGCTATAGCAGTTCCAACTTCAACCTCCTTTGTAATTGACCGGACAGCACGCATCTCCCTTATTTCTGCCTGCAGCTTGGCAATTGTCTCAGCCGCATCTTGATTACCTAGTCTATGACAAGCCACCTCTTTTTGAAGTACTTCCAAAGCTCGATTTGCTTCTTCTCCAAGCTGCTCTTGAAGGTGTTCAAGTTTACGAATTTCATGCATAAGTGTGAAAGGAGCAGTTGATGATTGCCTCATAGACTGCCTTAACATTGTGTTTCTTGTTTTATCATTCTGGCCTAGCTTCTTCCCATCAAATTTTGGAGACAACACAGCAGAATAAGACAGACACTTCTTCACTGATGGACGTTGTGATTCAAGTGGGTTTGAGATCTGGATAGTGTATTAGACAAACATGAAAAAGTAAGTAGAAATTAATCAAGAAATAGAGTGAAAGAACAGAGGAAGTGATAAGAAAGGACGGAGAGTGAACCTGCTGATCCTCCTGAAGTTTTCTGCGTAACTCATCCACTTGAGATTGTGCCATATCTCTTTGGCGCTTCAATTCTTCAATCTCCATTTCCATCTAGAAAGCAAAAACAGAAAATGTGATTACTTATGGTTTCATTTGCAGTATAAAATGATTCCGAATGAAGTCAATCTTCAATAGCTTATTACCTCTTGTATTTTTAAGTCTTTTTCCCTAGATGGATCAGGGGTGCGGAGCTCTGCTTCTAGCCTGGCTACTTCCTTCTGCAGATGTTTGACTAGCTGCTTATCTGAAACAACCTAATAATGTTTTCAAAAAAGAAACGAAATTCATGTTACTTCATTTTGAAATTCATGCATTTGGAAATCCTTGTCAATCTCTTAAAGCAGAAACGGAAAAATAAGTACCATATTGACTTGTGCATTATTTGTCACTTCCTTTGCCCGGGTGGCAAAGAAGAGAGTATTACGAGATTGCTCAAAATGACTTAGTGCTGGACTCAAAGTACATATGATGGCAGTACGTGCATTTCCACCGAGAGAATGCTGCAATATACGAGTAAGCTTCGAGTCTCTATATGGTATATGACCACTTCTTTTTCCAACACTGCAAAGAGAAATAGTTCACCAACACAAAGGGAAAAAATCAACTAGAAGTTAATCAAAAGTTCTAATGGGCACCTATTTAAGAGTATATTTAAGAAGTTTTACTTCTGCACAAATTATGACAACAAGATTAGCTTAAGAAGGTGGGGTCTTTCAGCTAATTTATTGAAGTATTGATTTTATAGCCGGGTATAGAAGTTGTGACATTTAGAGACATCACGATATTAGTTTCTCTAGATGCAAGGTGAGTTAAAAAGTTGATGTAGTTGACCATCCAATGTTTAAATATGTATTTTTTCAAGTTCGTTACATTATTTTTCTCCCATTCATCATAGGAAGACTTTATTCCAGAGCGCAGTTAAAAGTTTCAAGACATATGAAGGAACAAAATTCAAGAAATATAATGATAGAAGAACAGCAAATATGTTAGGATAGATTCTGACCTTAGTTTTCTGATTACAGTTGTCAGAGTCATCAAACTAAGGTTAATATGACAGCCTTCCCTGAGCCTTGCACCATCAGCATGTGTTTGTGAAGCTCTTTCACTGCCAGCTAGATCCACAAAGTTCTGGAAGTGTTGATCCCAACATTTTGTCATCAGGAACAAGAATTCATAAGTCTTTTTTTGGTACATTTGGATAAGATGGGGAGGCCAAGTAAAACCTCAACCTTGACTTTCTATCTAACGACTACTAAAACAAGGGTGGATTGTAAAGCTCATATATATTTTTTTCTTTTTATTGGATAAGGTAGAGAAAGGATAAGATCATTCTTACCAGGCTTGCAACAAATGATCTCACACAATCAGAATTTTCACGTAGAGTACTTTGAATTGTCTACATTGTTAGCCAAAAGAATTTATGAGTTAGCTTCCTTTAGGCATTGAGTATGTTAACAAAACCAGCAGAAATCATCATTCATACCAGCCTTATTATTTGGTGCGACCGTGAGCTAGTATCATTTAAGGCAGTTTCACCAACTTGCCTTTGAGCTACAAAATGACAGAAAAACAATTAGCCTCACGTTTAGAAGAGGAGGGAGAAAGCTTTGATAACTCAAACCAATAGCTTCGTCAATTACCCTCACAAATGCTAATTAGATCTCTTAAATGCTGATCATTGCTAACTGTTTCTTCCACCAACTTCTCAACCACAGTACCTTTCTGCAAGCAGAGATTAAACAAACAAAATCAAGTGAATGAAAGAAAGAGGAGGATTGAAAGCATAAGTGCTTCATTCCTGTGAAAAGAAGTTAATTTAAAAGAAGTCATTACTTCCGGATCATCTAGAAGCTTGAGATTGCGGCCAGATTCTGAATTTAACAGGTCCCTTACATTCTCATTATAAATTTCTAATCCTGAAATTTTAATAGTAAAATCTCTCTCTGGTGTCTGCAACAATTGCAAATAAAGAATAACACAATTAGGAAAAATCCCAACCATCTTATTGCAATGTTTGATATTGCTCAAATAAATCCAAACCAAATTATGGGCAACAAAAATAATTAAGGGAAGCTCAGTCTCACATTCATTATATGCTGGTAGATGTCATTAACAGCCTTTTCTGTTATTCCTCTCATCGTGAATGTCTTCCCACTGCTGGTTTGGCCATATGCAAATATAGTAGCTGTGCCAGAAATTACATAATTCAAGTGTTCGGTAAACGAAACCAAATATTAATAAACAGGCTTAAAAAAAGTAGTAAGTAGAAAAGATAACACCAAGAAGTACCATTTATGCCAACCAAAGCTGACAAAGCAACATTCTTCACTTCTTCGTACACCGTTTCAGTTAAGCATGAAGGCCCAAAAACTTTGTCTGAGCAAACAAAAGAATAACCCCAAACATCAAATTTGCATGAAACGTAAAACCAACTGTATAACAAATATGTAGTTCAGTTACCAAATGTGAAAGAAGATGGCTGAGCTGTGCGTTCTTGAGAAGGATGCTTAGAAACAATGGTGTGATCATCGACACAATCCCATGCTACTTGATCTTTGGCTTGTTGTTCCCTTTTACTTAAAGGCCTTAACCTTACAGTAACTACAATCTTCTCTTCCTTTGATTTTGGGCCTCCAGGGGTTGTTACTGGTGTCCTGTCTATCTTACTGGCTGGGGTTCCCGGAGTTCTAACTGTCATCATCTTTTTTTAGTTCCTTTGTGTTCTTGAAAATTGACAAGACCAGAAGAAATGCAGTCACAAGTTAGAACCCTCTCTCTCCTGGGCCTAAGAACTGTGAATTATAAACATCATATACAATTAGAAAATTATATACAAAAAGATAATTTTTGGCAAATTTACAAGGCCAAGAATTGAAGAACATTTAGTCATTTACCAAATTAAGGACAAATCTAAGAACAAATGTAAATATATAGAACTTCAAAATTCCCAGTTATTCCAAAGATTAGCTGTCGAAGAAGCTGAAAAAAAAAAAGAGTCACTTTTGAAAATTTCAAATCCTTCGCAGTATGTATAAATCAGTTGAAAAAAAGTAAGTGAAATAGAAAATATTATGAGAATAAAGAAGCCAAAAAGCCACACCTTTCATTCTTATTACTATTTTAGCAACAAAATTAGGTAAAAACCAAAGGAAAATTTAAGGTTTCTCTAGCGACTTAGACGATGAAATAAAAATTCCAAAAAAAAAAAATCTCACCTAATAGCATATTTTCTAGCATAAAAAATTCTTTTTAATTATCTCTAAAAATAGAAGCGTTTTCATGATAATTTTAACTTAATTCAGTTTATAAGTGAACAGCAAAGTAATTTCGTAAAAGGAAAGTTCACTTCCTTCAATTATTTTCCATTTTCAACTCAAATATTACCCCAAAAAAGCAAAAATTAAAAAAAAATTCACATACTTACTCAAAATTCTAGATCGAAATCAAGATTATTTGATTGAGATTCAGATCCAAACCGTGAAAGGAAAAGAGAAAGGAGCGCAACGGAGAGAGACAGTTTCAGGGTTTGGGGAAGTGAGAAAGTTTGAAGCTTTGTGTATAATGAAGAGAGAGAAAGGGGGAGAGTGACCAATAGATTTGAAATTTAGGTCCCTAACGGCTAGTTCATTATTCTCACCATTTTCTAGGAATTTCTTAATTCTCGCCGATTTATCGGGTTTATTGATACCGTGATACGCTTTTTTTTTATCGTCTGAGAGAAGCGGCACCGGGTCTCAAATTTTTTTTTTTCCTTTTGGCGAGGGGTTTCAAGTTTTAATAACGGTTTTAATTTATAATAATTAATTACTTAGTACAATTTTTTTTGCCCCGACAAAAAACATAAAGTAAAGGAGGTAATTTTGCTAAATAGACCCTCAAAGATTTAAAAGATAAATACGGTTAAAAAGCCTTCAAGTCAAATGTTTTTAAATTATAAGATGCTCCCTATACTTTTCTAGAATTAGATTCAAACCCAAGTTATGAAACCCTCCCAAGTATAACCGAAGATCACAGGACTTAGTAACACCTAAATGTGGTATAAATATAGAAGTATTTCATACTTCTTCCCCCTTTTTTTTTCGACTTTTTTATTAAACACCCAAAACTACAAACTTATTCCCAACAAAAAATGATAGTAAAACATTTTTAAATTATTTTATTTTTTAAATAAGCCTTTTTATTTATTTTATCTAAATAGCTTAAATTTTGAATTTGTATCTAAATAAATATTTATTTCAAACAAATTATTAATTTATTTTAAGAACTTATTTAAATATAAATTATAAATTAAGGATTTATTTGAATATAAATTAAAAGTTAATGTCTTATTTGTATATGAATTATATGTTAAAAGTTTATTTGGTGTATTAAAAGTATCAAATTTATATAAGTAAAGAAGTAAAGTTTATAATTTTTTATTATTTTAGCCAAAACATAACATGAGATAACTTTCAATTTTATTGTTTTACTTAAAGGTTAATCAAAATTATCTCACTCAATAGGTGTAATTTTAAACATAGCTAAAATGCTAAATAAACTCTTGAAATTTTTCATTTTCTATCATAGTTCCATTTTTGTGTTTTGCGTCTAAATAAGTTTTTAACTTTCAATTTATACTTAAATAAATCTTTCTTCTAAAACCGCAACAAAAGAAAAAAAACATTAATTTGAAAGTAGATTTATTAAATCTTTGTTTTAACTCTATTTGTTTAAAATTAAAAGTAGTTTTTTTAATTATAATTTGTATATTTTAATAAAATAATAAAAATAAATAATTTTTCAAAATTTTAATATCATTTTGTTTGATATTTATTAATAATTAAGTTTTGAAAAAAATAATTCGATTCTTTAATTAAATATAATATTTTCTACTTTGTTGAACCTTTAAACATACTATTTTCACTAGATTTAAACTTTTGATAATAAAATAACTTTGATGATTACTAATTTTGCTTTTAAATATTTAATAGTAAAAATAGATGTTAATTACTTAATATGTACAAAATAATAAAGATTTCAATAATTATTATATTTTTTTACAAACTTTTTTGAAATCTTTAGCCTCAATAAAATATTTTTTAATATTGTATTTAGGATCCATTTAACTTTTACTAAATTTAAAGGTAAAAAATTGGAGAAAAAAAAGATAAAATATCTCATTCTTAAAATTTTGTAGGTCAACAAAATTGTTTAAAAAAAAATCAAGTGTAATTGGTCGACAAAATTAATCAACCTTATTAAAAAAACTAAAAAATCATGATATATTTATATAGTCAGATTTTGTAGTTAATCATTAGTCCTTTTCTCTAATAGAATTCCTCCAATGACCCTATCTTCTTCTCTTCCTTTTTTTTTTTTTACATTATTTGGAGAAAGGAATATGAATTATGAAGTCTTGGCTGTATGAATAATATGTCCAAACTAGTCAATCCTCCAATAAGTTTCTCATTGTTCATTTAAATAAGCCCATGGTCTAGCATGAGATATAGACTTCCTTTCTTATTTTTTTTTATACACTCATTAATTGTACCATGATTCATATATATAATATCATTTGATTCAAGACGCTATTGATATTGAATCTAATATATCTCATAGGATGGTGTGAGTTCTATATTAGTTATCATATAAAAATATTAACAATTTTAATAATTCGTACGTTTATATTATATAAAATATTAATAATTTATATATTTATATTTTATTTTATTTAAAAATTGAATGTCACAATTTATGTTGATGTACAAATATGAAATACTTTTTAATTTTATCATATGATTGTTATAAAAATTTTAATCAAATCATGTTCATATATTTTTATGTATTATTTTTTTTATATTATATGACTGAATCATATTTTAAATTACTATATTAAGGATTACCGTGACATAAGTGTATAGAGAATCCCACATTCAATATGTACTTAAGAGTAATATTGAACATATATAGAATGATGATCACCTCAGCAATAACCATATAAAAGCTTGTCGTTTTAGCTTGAGACCTAAGCCGTGTCTCATGGATGTGCTTTGTGTTGCTGTTGGGATGAACGAACTTCCATGTTTATGCTGAGCCCATACCAAACTTTTATGTTCTAAATACAGACCAAAATAAAATGCCTTTAAAGCAGAGTAAACAAATCTAACAAAAGATTAAAGTCTAACCATTATCTTCTATTGCCTTTTTATAATATCATAAGTTATATCATATCACAAGTTTAGCCATCGACTACAGCACAATTCAACCAAATCTTTAAATATCCCTATTTCCTACTTTCATCTCTTTTTCTACCATCATCGAAACTCATTTTCATATATGAGTCTCCCAACTCAGTGATTAGGCTTTTTCTAATGCCGTAAATTTTATTCTTATTATTTTTTTATCATTCTCTTTTGTCCTTTCCACATTATAATGTCTTAAAGGTTAACTATCTCAATTCCTTTGCAAGTAACAGGAAATCCAGTCCAGACAAAACTCCCTCAAATGGTATGCCATCATCATCCCAAAAACTTATAGAATTTAACCTCAGTTTGACCGAACACGCATTAAAGATACAAGTTTGGACATTATTTTTGCAGCATGGAAAAAGGAAGAAATTCACACAACTGACTTATCCCTTGATTTCACCAGTGGTACATCCCATGTGAGGCAAAAAACTGAAAATCTGGGTGATTGACCTGAAGCAGTCTTAGCCAGTTTTCTGCAACCTGCATAAGGGAATTCGCATGTTGGCGCTCCCTCACGCCAGTCTCTGTCCACATGGATCCTTTGAATTTATAAGATGCCATTCCAAAAACAGGTAGCGAAATCTTTGGGATACCGTCTGCTTCATTGGGATATACTACAAATGGTGTGTGGCCACTTTCACTACCTACAAAAGCCAAATAAGGGTCACTTAAAAGGACTTCAGAAATATTTAAACTATTTCAAAAAAAAAAAAAAAAGCATGCAAAAACATGTACTGCAGTATGAACCGTAATTTCAAATCTAGTAGGAATCACAATTCACAATATTCTTTGCTATAACAGCAATAATGGCATCAAGGAAGTGAATAAAATGTTCTTCAAAACTATGAGAAATTATCTTACAATGGAAGTTTTTTAATTCTACAAAGGGGATTAACAGAGTGACACATACCTCTTAGTGTATATTTAAAAAAAAATAATAACTAAAATAAAAAGGACATTTGTCACCCTATTAACTCCACTTGTGAAGTGAAAATACTCCACAGACAGTGTATCAAATAATTTCCTCCAAAACTATATCATATATGTTGTGCGCTATATCATATCTTTTTATCATAGGATACAAATAAGCATACAGATGAAGAGACAAGAGACAAGATTCAAAATGCATCTACCAAATACCAAAGATATCAACTTGCAAAAAGTTGAAGCAGATAAAACAGACCACTACCAGTAATATAAAATGTAAGAGCCACTTAGTAATTTAGAATTGGCTGGACAACTGCAGAACATCTTGCAGAAGCCAATCGACTGATGCTGGAAAATTTAACCACAGCCTAAGATCCCTAAATCTAACCTCACAAAAACATTATGGTCAACTATTCCCCCCTAGAAAAGTATGAGAAGAAGATATCGGTCGAATTTCTAATCGAAAGTGATAAAGAACTTAAAGTAAACATGTGTGTTATCAGAGTTTGCAGCCTTTCTATATGGATAAATCAAACTTTGATGTTTTTCCCCCCTAGAAGACCAGAATGCATGCACACTTATGTCATGCACCAAAAGCCTCAAGAAAAGTATAAGAAGAAGATAGTGGTAAAAAGAACTAAAAATAAACATGTGTGTATCAGAGTTTGCAGCTTTTCTATATGGAGAAATCAATCTTTGATGTTTTTCAGGTTGATGGTCCGTCTTCCTATTCATCTCCTCAATTCAAATCTCATATGCTAACATTTTAAGCTTTCCAAACAAAGATAGACACCTAACAACTAAAAGTGATCAATTTGCTTCTGGAGTAAAGTTTATCCAAGCTGACAAGGAACTGGATCCAACAAATGCATGGGGGTGAGGAATACAAATCAAATTTAACTAGACAATACTGTTTAACTATTTGGTATAACAGCTAGTAGATATTGCTGCAATACCAATCATATCTGTAATGATATCATAAAAGCAACTTTATAGGTACAAAAGGTAGATATTCATTTTCTTAAATGCTGCATTAAAAAACAATATAATTAATAGATAATCTATCAATTTAGTTCACTACTTCACTACCAAATCAAGGCCGAGTTTACAAATAAGATAAGCGAAGCAGCAGAAAGAAAATGGGAAGCAAGGCAAGGGACAAGAGAATTTCCCAATCCACCATAAAGATAATCAAAACGATCATGATTACCTTCCCTAGGTGTGCAAAGAAAATGGTAAGTTAGAAAGCATGCATCCAAATCTTTTAATGTAGGACCTGTAGGTATTCGGTATATGGGATACCTACAAAGGTAAAATCAAAGAAAATGAACATTGTACAATACCCCCAAAAGGGAAAAGATCATACAGATCACACAATTTTACCATGCAACAGATATCCAACTGATCGGTAGTAAGTCACAACTTCTTAATGTCTTCAAACCAGGATACTTGCAAGCTAGGTCAAATATCTGTAACAAAAGTAGAAGAGAATAACAAATAAAAAACAAGTGGAGTTCATGCAGAGAACAAACCAGAAACCTGCCCATTAAACAATAAAAATACAATAACTAGCCTTGTCTGCCAAGGGTTCACGACTATAAGGAGTATCCTGCTCAAAAAACTCAAACAGCAGGTGATGTTGAGAGTTCCCAGTTTCACCATCATCACTAGAAAAGCCTTCCTGCAGTGTACTGTTTTCATCGCTTATAGACAAACTGCTCACTCCAAAAGGGATCTTATTTGCCAAATTATATTGACTGGGCTGTTCTCTAGAAAATTTAATGCCTTTCTCTATTTCATAATCACTATTTCCATCACTATTTGAATCTCTGATGTAGTCACCATCACTCTCTTCTCCAGCTAGCCTAACCACACAAGTAAAATTCGATACAAATTAATAAATCAAACCATCTAATTCAAACAACAAAGTATAAACACAGAATTGAGACAATCACGTTGTAACAAAACACATTATAACCTACATACCAGAGAAGAGAAAGGAAGAACAACCTGATAGCAGCAATATTAGTTGATAAATACTACGCATGTTATCATAATGAAAATGTTTATAGCTACAGAAATTACTTGTACAAGATTTTTATTAAAGTATCATAAATATGAATAATTGCATATGCTATAGATCATTGATCATCTAAAAGACAACCCATTAGGGTTTAAAATTCCTATAAGAATATAGCAGATGTAAATTTTTCTAGACCAGGAAATTGTATTTCTTGGGCATTAAAGAATCAAGAGCTAGACGGAAAGCTACACGTCTAACTACCTGATTCTTCAACAAATGTGAAGCATGTGGCTCCAAGACATATAGAGGATGGCTAATGATTATCAGGAGAAGTTATTTGCTTTAACAATATTACCATCACACCAAATGCTTTGCAAGCCCAATATACATGTGCTCCAGCTGAAACACCTGTGTCAATTCATTGTAGCAACCCTCATATTTCCATTTTTGGAACTAACAGACACATATACAAGACCCAAAGCTATAGCCATCTAATACTATGAATAAATTTGCATTGAATAAATGAAATGCTGAAGAGGCAACAAGGGATGCAATAAAAAAAAATTAAATTCTCTAAACCATAATTCACAGGACAACATTTACTGAGAGTTGATTGATTACATTTTGCTCTCACTAAGTAAACAACTAATAAAAAATGTTTTTGAGACCAAATTAAAATGAATTTTGGTTTTTAATGAACCAACACATAAGTAGATCCTTACTTGGAGTAATGTAAAAATAACCAAGATTAACAATTTTTCCAGAGAAGAAGATAGCTCAAAATGACTTATCTAAAAAAAGTTTTATCATGTTTTCTGAATATCAGTAGGCAATTTTCCTGCTGTTTTATACTGACAACAACCACAAAGTAAGCAATACAACCCAAGTCTCAAAGAATGGGATCAACACACAACATCATAAAGGTAGTTTCCTGTTCTGGAGCTACAAAGGGACCGTTCAGTAAACGGGTGTGGAGCAAGGTGCAGCAGGAATGTGCTCCCATCGCACCACACCAGTCTAATGAGCATTGCCAAAATAGTACATGTTCATTTGAAAAATCATAAAGAGAGAAAAAAAAAAAGAAAGGACACACCATTCTTCCATGGGAAGCCAAGCAAATGTCTAAAGTACAGATAAACAACCATTGAAAGAAAAAGAGTAAGATCATGGGATTATGGATGATATAAAGTCATAGCATAATGATAAGATAAGCATAATGCAATGAAAGATACCAATCTGCACATGGAAAAGAAGAAATAGCACTATTTACTGTGCGTCAGATGCATGATGATGTACCACAATGTGAAAAGCATAACCAATATAGTGAAGCTAAATACAGTAATCATTCCCCTTTTCTAAAACAATTACAGTATTGTTCAAGAGAGAGATGGGAAGAGAAAATGAAACTTCATCTAACAGAAAAGAACGAAAAATAAACAAAACTTGTTTATCCAGGTGAAATCTGTTCTAAATACAGCAAAACAGACTGCATATTTTTCATCAATGTATCAAGATATAGAGAAAATAGTACCTAGGCTTAGCATTTGCCTGCATAGATTCACCATATAATTGGATCCCTGACAAGTATGGAACATAGTACTGAACAACACCATCACTCCCATCAAGCACCAAAGGCACCCCTGCGCCATATGCACTCCATTCCTTGAAAGACTCCCATAAATCACCCAATGTAAAGTAAGGCTGAAACTCCACATCAGAAGTCCTCCATCCCCTCACTGTTGTCTACACCAATACAAAAAATCAAAATTCTGAATCAAAATAATAATAATAATAAATAAAAAATCACCAACAGGCATATGATTCTAATCTACCCTATGCTCAGAGAAACGAATTTCCCCAAATTCTCCAATTCCAAACAAAGCCCTATCCTAAAATTCTACTGTTGACACATCTACACATGATGAAAAAACAATTCAGTCAAATATGAAACAATATAAACAAAAGTAATTATATATTATTTAAGAAAAAACAATAAGATTTCTTGCTATTTTCCAAACATTCTTAGCAACCAAAGCTAATCATCATAAGTCATACAGATGAAAAAAATGAACATCAGACTATATCAACCTTTGAAAAATATTGAGCCAGGACCGAAGGCCTGGTCGATTCCAGGAACCTTTGGAGGTTACTGCTTAAGACCCCCGATTCCTTATAGCCCTGAATATTACTTGAAACCAAAGTCTCCTTATGATTCTTGTTCTTATTATCATCAGAAGCTAAAGCCTTGCTCTTTGCAGATGATGCTGATGATTTACTATTACTTTTCTCATTATCTTCCTTAAAAACTTCTTGTTTCTGCTTTTGCTTTTGCTGTTGTTTTTGGTTTTGATTTTTTCTAGCTTTTACTGGAATGTAAAACCCATCCTCTCCTCTAACTGTCCCGAATTGCAAACCAGTCCCCAGCATTCTCACTTTAACCTTTTTTCTTATTATTATTATAAGCCCTCCGCTTGGCTGCCTAGGAAACGGAGGAAAAAACAGCAAGAAAATGCAAAAATTAAAAGTTCAAAATCAACTGCTTCTTTCTTTCAAAACTTTGAAAACTCAACTCAAACAAAATTCAAGTTAAACAAAGTATGGTTTTGTTGAGTGAAGGTCAAAAAGTTAATCAAACTCTCAAATCTGAAAAAAGAAATAATGATTTCCCTGAAGTTTCTTGCAGTTTCTTAGGCAACAAACAAGAATAAGAATAAATTGAAAAAAAACAACCCAAAATTTTTTCATTCAATGTATGGAGAAAGAAAGGGATTATTTGGCTGATTAGAAAAGGGCGAGGTAGAATTTTTGAGAGAGAAAGAAAGGGAAAGAAAAAATTGAAAAGGCGTGAAGGAGAGGAACTGAACCACACTATTTCTATATACGCTTCTTCAACTGAGTTCAACAACAGCAAAGGAAAGAAACAGAACATTATCATTATCTCCTTTTTTCCTTAATCCACCCTTTAATCATCAACTTAATTTTCATTATTTTATTAATTAATGTCTTGCATTTTCTTTATCTTTTTATTTTCTTTAATTTCATTTTATGGTTTTTGAGAAAATAATTTTTGGTTTTTTGTTCTTGAGGATTAATTGGGTGAAATAGTTACTATAAAAACATTAGGTGAAATGGTTGAAAAATACAAAATGTTTTTACTTATAGGATTGGATTACGAGGAAACCAATACGTGCGGAGTGTTAAGAGTCGGTAATGACACGTGCACGAAGCATTTCTAACGACTATTTTTTTTTTTTTTATAAACATAAATTTATCAATAAATAATTGATTGAATCAGTTAAAGTTATTTTTTTTGACAAAAAAATTTTAAATTTAAGTCGTTAGTCATTTATTGAGATCATATCAAATGCATAACCTATAACTATATATTTTAAGTTATCAGATACGACACAGAACAACCTATTTACTTATAAATTTTTTTTTAAAAAAAAATAAACATAAATTTCTTTTTTTTTTTTATAGTAAACACATAAATTTCAACAAATTATATAAAAGTAATATTTTTAATTATGCATATTAGTTTTTGGATAGTCCATCGTCTACGGTAAGACTATATTTAAATCATAATTAAATTTAGTTTGCCTTTTGTAAAAATATATAAATCATAAATTTTTAAATTTTGTTTAGATTTGAATTTTTTTTGTTTTATAAATTGATTCAATTCAAACTGAATTTTATAAATTTAGTTTTTTGATTTTTTTAATTTAATTTATTATTGTTATATTATTTTAATATAATTTTTTGTATATTTAAATAGATTTAGATATAAAATAATTATTTTTAGTAAAGAGTAATTAATTTATATAAGTGCAAAATTTTTTAATTTTACGTACTTTTGTAATTATTAATTTTAATAAATTCAAAAAAAAGATTAAATTATTATTTTCATTTGTCTCTTTTATCTTCTAGATATATTAAAATCAATGTTTAAAAAAAATAAAATTTTACATTCATGTAAGTTGCTCTATTTCTATTTTTTATAAAAAAATTGAAATATATATAAAAATTAATAAAAGATATATAATTTGATTCAATTTTAATTTTTTAATTTTTTAATTTTTGATTTAAAATTTGATTCGAATATAATATAATATATATTAAATGTACAAATTTAATCTAAATCGAATAAAAATTCAATTTAAATCACATCAAATAATATAATTTTAAATCAATTTTATTTTTAAAAATTTTTTCATCCAATAAAATGCAGTCAACTACCTTTAAAGTAAAATAAAATCAATTGCTCACCAACAAATGGTTGGTTCAATTGATTAAAGTTCATTCTCCTCAACGAAGAGGTTTTAGATTCAAATCCTATTGGTGGTCACTTGTTGGAGTTATTTCGAATGTACGACTTACAACCATTTGTCTTAAATTATCAGATATAGCACATTTTATCTTAAGCTTATGGATTGAGCAGCATGACTTGTAGTCATTTATCTTAGACTGTCAGATATAGCACATCTTATTCTAAGCTTACGGATTGAACAACTTATCTACCTAGAATTTTTTTCTCTACAAAAAAAAAATAAAACCGGTTGCTTATTAAAAGATTTATCCTCAAATGAACAATAGTCATTTGTCTTAGGCTATTAGATATGATATATCTTATCATGTATGACTTACAACGACCTATCTTAAGCTATGAGATATGACACATCTTACCCTGACCTTAGGGATTGAACAACTTATTTATCTCAAAATTTTTTTACAAAAAAAAAAAAAAATTGATTGCTCATTAAAGGATTTCTCCTCAAATGAACAATAACAACTTATCTTATATTATAAGATACAATACTCTTATTTTAATCTAAAAAATTAAATAATTTATCTACCTTGAATTTCTTTCTACCAAAAAAAATAATAATAAAACCGGTTGCTCACTAAAGGATTTCTCCTCGTATGAACAAAAGGAATGCAGCACAGTGAATAATGCATCCATTGTACGACATCTCTGGCACTCAGAATAATCCACGCAATTAGAGCTAAAAGTGAGCCCAACCATGCCCCTTTGAGTAGGGTTTGGTTTGGTTTGGTTTGGTTTGGATTCTATTACATCTCTAACAATGAGTAGCTAACAACCAAAAAACCATAAAAAAAAAACTATGGTGAAATCTAAAGGTCTCAATGGTGAAATTAATTTTATCACACTAATCCTCAATATTTTGGTGGACTTTTGAGGTCTGGTGAAAATTTTTTCCACTGTGCCTATATTTTCCAATATTATTCATGTTTATTTATTTATTTATTTATTTTTTTATCTTAAGTATATAGCTCATTTGGTTTTTTATATTTTTCTTTTTTTGTTAAAAAAAATTTATTAGTTTAATATAATAAATAAAATTTATTAATTTAATATGAATAAATAACTTTAATCTAATTATGATTTGGACTTTAAATATAAAAATTATTATATTCAAATTTTAAATAAATTTATTATATCAAAATTTTAATATAATATATTTAATGATAAGTTTTCTTTTAATAATAATTGATTTCATCACTATAATTATTTTAATATCTAAACATATATTTTATCATTATAATAACAATTATTCACCATTACGATAATTAATCCTATTATTATTATTATTTTTAATTTTATCAAAATTAATTTCTTCCTTCCACTAAAAGGATTTTAAGTAAATATCATTTGAGGGACCCAATCTGTTCTACTTATCTTTACCTTTTAACTATTTTTTTTTTCTTATTTGCCATTGATAAAACAATGATGTGGCCAAAACACACTCTTACTATGGAATTTTTACACAAATATTTAATAACTAAAATAAGTTAATAATTTTTTAATTTAAAAATTCCAAATAAAATACAACATATATAAAAAAAAATTTATTTTTATACTTTCAACTAAGCAGATTTGGATTTTTATTTTACAAGAACATATTTGAAATTTAAAATTTTCGTGAATAAATTAATTGTAACATGTCTAAACAAATTAATCTTATTTAAATAAGTTAACAATGTTATGTGGCGTACAAGATTTACTAGTTAAATGTTTAACTATATCTTGTGGCGTAATATATGCAATAAATGTATTGTGTTAGTGTCAAGAATCTTGACATAATTAAGTAATTGTATCATATTCATGTTGATTCATCTATATGTTTATATTCTTACTTTGACACGGCACTATTATGATCAGCTAACACAAATTGCTAGTCTGTTAAATATATAATTATATAAACGGTTACATAATTTATAAACAACTAATTTATTAAATAATCATGAAATATACAACTAATTTATCTAGTAAATATAGATAAATAGTACATACATAAAATGATATACATATTTAATATTGTAAAACAGAAATATATAAGTACATAAATAATTAAGTAAAAAATTATTTTATGAATTTTTATTCTATATAAAATGTAAATATGCTTTTGTTAAATTAATTTTTTATTTTTAAATATATTTTAAAGGAATTTATGTCAACCCTCTCTAGTTATGTTAATGAAATTTAAAAATTTTATAGATCATATACAAGATAAATTTTTAATAAATTATTTGTAAATTAATTTTTAAAACAATAAAAGTATAAATTGCATGAAACTATACCGTTTAAAGTCTTGATTAATAAAATTTATTATTGCTTACTCAATTATAGTCATATTTTTAAAATGATTACTTAACTATTAAAATTTTCAATTTAATTAATAAAATTTGAGTACATATTTTTTTTATCACTTAATCATTGGTTTCTAACAATATGTTGACATAATTGTTATGTTAATTTTTTACGCACCACATGACATTTTCACGTCATATAATTTGCCATGTGACATTGTTGATGTAATATTAAAATTTTTAAAAAATAAATTTTATTAATAAAATAATATCACGTGATATTTAATAGCTAACATAGCATTGTCATGTCACTTTATAGTTAGAAACTAACACTTGAAGATAAAAAAAAAATACTTACTCAAATTTTGATGATTAAATTAAAAATATTAATAATTTAATCATTATTTTTGAAATATAATCATAATTAAATAACTAATGATATAATTTATTCTTAATAATAATGACCAAAAAGAAATCCTAATTAATAGAGTCCATTCGCCCTTGCCCACACAACTGTCGAATCAAATGGGTTCGAGATGTGTCGCTTTAGGTAGCAAATGCGAGTGGCGGAAGCAGGCCCATCTGATTAATGATGTTAAGCTAATATTGGACACAGAAAAGGTAGATAGCAGAAAGGACATTTGGTGAAGGAGGTGGCGAAGTTGGAATCTGTTGATAGATAGAAGTGGGTCCATAATCTTTGATTTAGTGGGATTTCTCCTATCTTTTGTTGAGCAAACTTAATCACTTAACTGAGCCCATACTATGAGATGATAAGCATACCGATATTGTATATTATCCTTCATTGTTCTAGTATGTGTTTGAATTCGAATATAATCGAGTTAAAGGAAGAAAAAATTTGATTGAGTCGATTTCTTCTGAAAATCATATTAAGGATAATAGTGTTTTCACTGTGATGCAAATATTATCTTAAAATACAATGCCCCAAAAATTAAGATTGCATTCAAGTTCTTCTTGAGCACACATGAATTATAGATAAAAAATGAGAGTGAGAAAAAATATGACCCTTGAGGAGAAAAGATATAAAGATGTATAAAAATAAATGTTAATGAAAGTATTTGAACATGTTAATGAATGTTAACCATTATCTCTGGAACGAAAGAACATGTTCAACAAATTGATTTTTTGAATTCCCCGAACAAGTAGTCCATTGTTCGAAAAAAAAAAAGAGTCGATTGCCCAAAGCAAATTATTTCCCAAAGATAGTCTATTTCACAAAGCAAATTAAGGAAAAGTAATCGATTACTCCCCGAAAGCAGTAGACTCCCTATGCTTATTCTTTGCCAAAAAATAACCCGAAA